CATTAATACGAGTATTGTTTAGCAATTTTCAAAATTGGAGTAGTTCTCGAATTTTTTATATTTTATGAGCATACGGGAATTCTTTTTCATTTTTCATAAAGTTTATTTTTAAAAAAGGAATAGTATTTTATGGCCTTTATGACGAGAGACTTTTTAGTTTTTCAATTCGTTTGTCTTTTTATCTTTTGTAAGCGGCCCAGAGAAAGTATGTACCTATTATATGTTAATGCGCTTATTTTTAAAAGAAGAAACTTAAGAAAGTTATTGTAAATTAAATTGTTAATACCAAAGTTATTATATAAATGATCATATCCAGTAAATGCGTAATAAGGCTAAAACTGATTCCTACCTTACGTTTAGCAGATCCACTAAGATATTTTCTACATGACATTTTTTAAAATACTGGTATACACTACACAATTCAAAAACGTATCATTGTTCTTGTTTTCTTAAATCTATTATTGGCAATCACTTACTTCATAGATGCGCTATGCAAAAATACCTAATCAAATAGCATAAAAAAGAGGAATCTAATCTGAGTAATTTCCCCTAGCGCTTTCGGCTTTCGGTAATCCATCCATCCAGAAACATTTAAAAAGAACAAGCCATTGTCTATGCAGCAATCTTGATATTTTTTTGGGAAAGTGTTTTGCCGCCCAAAAAAGAAAAGAAAAAGAGTCTGTTTTTGACATTATGAGAATAACAAGTTGGCTGTTGCAATATATTTAATAAGACTAAATATATTTCTGTTGCACTGTTGCAGGTGTTCCAGGCTGGATTTTATTTTTTTATTGTTTTTAAAATACAGTTTTAGTTATTATTTTACTTATTAAAATATAGTTTTAGTAATAAATTGAAGATTTATAACAATATGTGACGAAAAATCGGTTTTTGTTACAAATCGGTATTTTTCGTAATATATGTACATTTTCATTTATATAATTTTATTCTTGTGACAGTAAACATTCAATTTATTATTCAAATATAAGCATATTACAAATTAAATTTCTAAAATTAATGTTCAAATTTGGGGCGCTTATGATACATAGGTCCTCGACAAGGATAGATAGAGTAGAAGAACCGCGTGTGCAACAAAAAAAGAAGATAAATGGAAGCCGTTGATATGTATGCGACAGTTTCCATAGTGACTTACTTATCCACGTAAGTATATAATATGATCTAGTAGTATGAGAGCTAGCAACGTCGGAAAAACAAGTATTTTAAGACGTTTGGCTCTTTGATACATCTGTACTATGCTCTCTAGAACAGCATGCGGCCCGTCTGGCTGCCGGTACACGTTGCGTTCCCTACTGCGCATTGAAAGAAGATCCTATATTTTTATTAGTGGTTTAAATTCTAGTATTGAATAAAAATCGAACATGTCTCCATAGCGCAGTGCGTAGAGTTTCCGACCACGAACCGAAGATTCAGAGTTCAAATCCGGGTCAGGTCAAAGACTTTTTTATTTTTATTTTCGTTCATATTCTGATAATCTCGATTTAACTCTATGAATCTCGATTTTAAATTCTCCTAATTTGGGGGCCCCTCTCAATGACGGGGCCTGGGGCTATAGCCCCCATAGCCCCCCCCTTAATCCAGGCCTGCCTATAGATATAAATCTATCAAAAATAGTAGATAAAATATTACTTTAACCGCAAGAGTGGATTAAATGATACTTTAACAGCGAGGATAGGTTAAAAACTTTATTTCTTCTCGCACGTTTTTTGATTGCTTGCATTTTTGAAATTTTTTGTATTCCTTTTCATAAGTTATTCGGGATTTAAATGGAAGTAGTTTGGATATGGCGTTTGTCGCCTCAGCCTGAATATCTGTTGGTTATTTACTTATTTCGTTTTGAGCCAGTTCTGGCTTCAATTCAATCAGCAATCGAGACTTAAAAAATATTAACTCAAAACTGACAACTAAAGAGACAGCTTTATTTATTTGTCAAATTACATAGAAACCAACGCCAACCCAGCACAATATTTTTTCTACTCGTATAATAAATTCCTTGAAATAATAATTTCTGAATATTTTTTAAAACGTAACTCGCTATGGAAAAAATATTGTTTTATATACGACGATAAAATTGCATTATCGTCGACCGGAAAGATTAAAGCCGGGACCCCATTAGCCAATACCCGACGTGATGCCACGCGATGCCACGCTATCCCACGTGTCGCAACGTGGGAATGGGTGTACACATTAGGTAACACGTGTTAACACGCCTGAAATTTTTATTAGAGTTAAAAAAGTTGTCAGTAGGGATACGAAAATACTAGAAGTATCTATACCCATACCGATATTAGATTATAATCATTATACCTTAACTTCACAATCTCCATTAACCTTCTTTCCTTAATTTTTGATTATTAAATTTTAAAATTAATAATAGAATTTTTATTCTTACTGATCGAACACTCAAAAAAAAATTTTGTTTTCGAAAATAACCATTAGAAAAGTTATTACAATGTTTGATTCAAGCAGTTCATCGATTTATTTTATTTTTCGGACATCCCAACATCAACTACAAAAGTAGATAGCTGCGGGACTAGAGAGGCAAGCGGGGAACAACACGCCGTAACACACATCGGTGAGATCTGGGACCGACGAATCGACCATCACACGTGTCATAGCGTGTTATAGCGTCGGATGGCGTGGCGTGTTGCCTAGTGTGTACGCAATACATGTAATTAAATGGAAAAACATACGCACTGATCTTCATGATGTGGGTAGCATGGCATCGCGTGGCGTAGCGTGTTGGCTAATGGGGTCCGGACATAATTAATTTCGGGAGTGACTAAACAAACCAAATACCATTTTATCGTTTTGTATAAAAAATAACTATTAGACTACCGTTCAAGACGTATTGATGTTATTTTGGTTTGTATGATATTCAATTGTATTTACTGTATTTTTGTCAGTTGCAGTTAACTAACTAACTCTATAATATCTACATTATACTAACACTGATATTTATGATAATATACCATCCAAATCTCTTTAGTTTATAAATTTTACTACATAACAACTTTCCTTTGTTTAGGATAAAGCCGTAAGGTCTTAGAAATCTGTCAAGAAACGTTTTATATTCTCTTTACTTCAGCATAAATTTGACTAACAACGAAACTACGTTCGTTTGTTCTTTAGATTGTCGATTTGGAAAAGTAAATAAAATCATAGAGAGACTATACAGAAATACCTACTGTATTTAAACATGAAAATTTTGTTTGAAAAATTTGGTTGAGCCATTTTTTTTATTGAAGTTAAGTTATAATCTATATTATTAATTTATTAAACTACAATATCTAGTTTGATACATTAATAATTTACGACGTCCTTTTAGCTGTAATATTGTACTTCACAATGCAATGTATAGAATCGCAATATTTGTATTTGATCAATGATTTTTTGTGTTTTAATATATTTAACAGCTATACTATGTTATGTTATTATGTAGTAGTAATATGTAATACATACAGAGAAGACCAGGCTACTAGTAACATAGCAACTGGCCGGACGAATTTACGCTTACCCGATTGCGTTCGTACTTGAGATTCACTGCCAGCTAATAGGCTGGTCAGGCAGTGGGCAGTTGCAGTTGTGCTTGGACGGGTCGGTCGTAGCAAACTAGAAATAAGACGCGAGGAGTGCCGAGTATTAATTATTTTCATTTTAAGTGTTTACCTTCACTTAAGGTAACATTTAAAATAAAAAAAACTTAAATATTTATTATTTGAGTGTGTTTACAAGCCAAAACTAAAAATAAATAAATTCTCTAAACTCAAAACTCATTTCCAAAATTAAAAAATACATCAATAAAATAAAAAAAAAAACTAAAATATTACTCTAAATAAAAAAAGTTATAACAAGTGTTCAAAAAGACCACCTTCTTGTGCTAGACAGAAGCCTAGGCGGTTTGGTTTGGGAAAGTATTGTTCAAATATTCTTGAACAATACGGGCATTGTGGGCAGGGCAACCATCTTGTTGAAACCAGACATTGTGGAATTTTTCTCCCAATAACTCACGAATTCTAAGCACAATCTGCTGCTGTAACAAGTCCAAATACTTAGCAACAGTTAAATTACCCTCTATAAAAAATGGACCAATCATATGCTCCCCTACAAAACCACCCCAAACATTTAGCTTTTGAGGATATTGCGTGCGTACCTCAAAATATCTGTGCAAATTTTCCCGAGACCAAATCGCACTTGTGTAGGGTTATGACGACTCAATAAATGAAAACTTGATTCGTCGGTGAAAACTATACGCCGAATAAAGTTTTCATCTAAATTGGTCTTTTCCATTACAGATTCACAAAACGCCATACGCCGAAATTGGTCTTCATGGAAAATTTCCTGAATTTTGCGCGCTTTATAAGATCGGTATCCATTCTTTTTAAGGACTCTTTTAACCGTGCCAGGTGAAGAATCTGTTACCTCAGCAATTTGATTACTTGAAAACGTGGGATTTTGATCCGCGGTAGCACAACTTGCTTCAACTCCTGTTCTTCATTAATCAACACATCAGGCTTTTTGTGTTTTTGTGGGGACACGTACCCATGTGTTTCAAAATTATTAATAACTCTTGATGTGGTAGGTAAAGATTGAATTGGCCTGTTTACAAAAGTTTGTGGCAAAATTGTTTGTATATCCCGATAAGACCTCTTTTGGAAATACCATTTTACAATTTGAATTTTCTCACGAACTTCGTAAACATCCATTATTTTACTTAAAAAATAAAATTTACACGAGAGCTGTCGCGGGAATCTATGAATTCGTTTTGGCTATTAAAACACGAATAAATACAAATTCAGAAACATTCTTATCACATATCTACCTATTTTTATTTTATCGCATTTTTTCGCTTGCTTTTTATCCGGCGGACGGGTATACGCTAATTAGTCCGGTTTTGCTAATGTTACTACTACGGCGCCGTGGTCCGGTCTGTATAGGTAAATATATATTTTTATTGAAAATATTTTTATCTTTTGTTGCAGATATACTTTGTCCTACATGTGTAAGACAGACTCTATAGTGAACAAATAATTTGGAAAATATATCGACGAAAAGCTGGTGAGTAAAAAGCATCATAGTAGGCATATATTTTTGTTATTATACAGTATGTTCCCGAATTGTCTTTAGAAAATGAAAAAAAAAATATTATTGACATTTTGAGAAAATTGCATACTTCATAAAAATGTTACTTGTTCTATAATAGTTATTCCCGTTTATAATTTTCCAAATTTCCATACCGTTTTAACGAGGATTATAAAAAATATGATAATATAATTAAATTAATTAATTATTAATTTTTCCTAAATAAAAAAAAATAAAAATCGAAACGCGTTTCTATGGTAATATAATTTCGTTTTCATTCTTCGATAAATTGTTATTGTTGAATTGAAAGCCTAGCTTTAAATCATCGGTGGCTACAAGAAAGTAACTATTACGCATATTCCATATGTTTTAGTCAAAATAAAGTACCGTATGATCGAATAAAAACGGCGTCAGAGATGGTTATGAAATGAAGATCGCTGTCATTTTATATGTAAATTTATATGGGAAATGTCATCGATCGTCATTTCCAAGCCAACTGGACGCCGTTTTTATTCGATCATACGGTATTTATAAAACAAATTGCTGCAAACAAGCTCTATACCAAATTTATACAGAATTTATAATATACTTTATAATTGCTTATAAATAAATTAATTTTCTTAGAAATCTGTTTAAGAATGTGTTTATATGCGTTCATAGAGCTTAAAATGGCTGAATAAGTTAGTAGCTAATTACTCACTTAGTTAGTAACTAAGTAAGTAAGTAAGCCAATTTCGGGCCTATAATTGAAGAGTGGAAATACCAAAGGGGGTAAGTGCCAAAATTATTTTTTCGAGATAAATAAGAAAAACAAAAATCAAACTTAATCAAATTTTTATGGTGGCGGAATTTTGGGCCGCGGCCTATATTTATTACGCCTATTATGTATACGTACGCAAAAAAAACATTAGTAACAATAACAGCAACTTATATGCATATCAGTATGAGGTTCGTCCAAATTTTAATCCAGTTTAACGGACGTATCTGATTGAAATTCGATTACCCTATTTGATCACGACCAACAAATTCGCAGAACCGCAATCCCACTTTTTTGCAATAATTCCATTAGAATTTGGCGGGAATTACAGTGCCCGTAAGTTGCAATACTATCCCCGATTGATCCTGAATTTATGCACTTTCGGTTATCGGTAACTGAGAGCCAGAGTGGTGTGGGGGAAGCAGCAAACAGGGTGGGTGATCGTAATTAACCTCAATTAAAACTTTTGCCGAAGAGCGAAGGCGCCTTTATCTGCATTTGGCAGACGGGCCTGCCAAGCGGCGCGGCGAGCTGTTGTTTGTGGCTCGCGTATTCCTGCGCCAAGTTACGTCGAGGCCGTTATTTTCGCTCGGTAGATCCATATTAATTGTTTTTGTTGGATTGCTATGGTATTACATAGGGTAAGTTTATACGGAGGGATCTATTCTGATTTGGCTAGTTTGGATGGCAGTAAATTTAAGAAAAACGATTATTTATCAGGTAACAATGCAGAATCAGTCAAATGTCAACATACCTTAAGGTGTCAACCTCTGATTCTATTATGTTAAATGTAATTTGTCTGTCTGTTTACAATACGAGGTACGTTATATTACATACGCTTAAGTGTCCACGAATAGTTATTTATGGTACCAGTGTGTTATTTTACATACAGAAAAGTCCACAGACTTCGAGACATAGGAAAATCAAGTCCATTTAGCGTGTGTCCAAATTTTGACAAGTTTTCAAAAATGACAGTTTTGTTTAGACTGACGTTTAATTTCGCCTGACCTCTCGGTGAATGATTTCTTTTTATGGGGGTACATAAAATCTAAAATTTACGGCCATGAAGAAGTTCAAAATCTGGAGCAGTTAAGGCAGAAAATATTTAATGCCTTTGACACTGTCACCCCTGATATGTTATCCAATGTGAGGAGAGAGGGGATTTTATGATCGTTTGGGTTATTGTTTATTACAAGAGGGAGGCACAGCTTTGAACAATTTTTGTAATTTTTTAAATTTCGTTATCCTGTTTTTTACCGTTTACCCATTACCTACCTTGACGAACATGGGAAAACAATTAAAGGTCCTTTTCAGGACCACAAATATTTTGATTGAGAAATTTGTTACTTTTATTTTTTTTGGATTAAAAAAACAAAAGTTGTTAATATAATATCAATTTAAAAGTGTTTTAGTAGTTTTAATATACACTATGATATAAAATTTATTATTATTATAATGTACATTATTAATACTATTATTCATTCGAATTGACATTAAGGCCCAATTGCATCAATGATTTAAATTTTTCTTAAAAATAGGTAGAGCTTAGAATGAGCTGTATTATTTACTTTAATAGTCACCTTAAATGAGGGAATTTGAATGATACAGTTTTTGAATTTGAATAATTTTTAATGATACTAACAATTTTAGTTCAATTTTTAATAAAATTTATTTAATATGAATAGAAATCCAAGAGATTTTAAACCTCTTCTAGCGATTTATAACATACTCAAATGAATTACAGGTGCCGTTATTTTCTATGAAAACCACACAGCTTTTTTCATAGTCGCTGCAGTTGCTATGGCTATAAAAAACTAATTTTTTAAGGTGTGAAAATTGCGACACACGCTAAATGGACTTGATTTTCCCTATGTCTCGAAGTCTGTGGACCTTTCTGTATAAGTCACGCTGGGAAATGTTTAAATTTGTTCTAATTTTTTCAAGTGACTTATATGATATAACCCGCGAGTTCCAGACAAAATTTTATCCAACAGCACAACTGTTTCATGTCCAATCTCTAAAGAATAATTGATTTAAAAGGATCTACCAGTTCTACTTTCATTGTTGCGAATTAATAAATTATCAAGGTGCGTTTATGTTACTATGCAATATAGATGTGTTTTTTTTTAATAATAAATAGCACTGACATTAAGACGTGATTTAGATAAATTTGCGATTTTTTAACGATAAAATACTGAATTAAAAAAAAGTCTCGTATATGTCTCGGCGTATATGATAGGCAATTGAAGGCGTTTGAAGAGTAGATGAAAGTAAAACATGTCAAAGGTATAAACGAAACTAACTTGTTTGCTTACTTCTTTGAACTACAGAAAAAATTGTTCCATCATCCTTATGGACTAAGTATTCAATGCTCAAGTCAACTCTACAGATTTATAAAAACATTAATATTTCCGAATTTCCAAAACTTATAAATTTTCTCAAAGTCAAGAGAGAAGATCCTTTTTTTCATTTAATGTTAATGCTATAATTTAAATAAATAGTTGAATTAGTAATTTATGAATAAAGCTTGATAATTTCTATAAAATGGTGTGGCTTTAAAGTTATAACCCACTAGTTTGTTATAACTTTAAAAACTCACGCGTGTGTTATTATTTATCTAATATGCATGGGGGGATATACATGTGAGTAAAGTCTGTATAAGTAGTGGCTGTTGAATAAAATATATTTTTTCATCTACGCTACTTTCTTTTAGAGGTATGTAGTTCGTGAACGAACTAGTTCCATTGAACTATTCCGACCCCGGAATGAAAGGAACTAGTTCCTGGTTTCTCAAAGAACTAGTTCCTCAGGACCTATTCCGGGATCGAGACTGTGTCCGATATAGAATATGCAACGGCGACGGATCGGCTAGCGCGCGTAGCCCGATGGTAGGCAGGAGTGGGGAGTGCGAGCCGTACGTTGTCGGATCCGGACCCAGAAGAACTAAACTAAATAAAAGACTAGTTTACGTACGAACGGATCGGGCCAGCGCGATCGATGCTAGGCAGGAGTGGAGAGTGCCAGCCGTATGCCGTATGTTATCGGATCCGGACCTAAAGGAACTAGAGGAACTAAATAAAAGACTAGTTTACGTATGGGCCAGCCAGCGCAATTAATGCTAGGCACGTGTGGGGAGTGCCAGCCGTATGTTATCGGATCCGGACATAGAGGAACTATTAAAAGACTAGTTCACGGGAATCTATTCAGTCGGCAGATCCGAGATAGAATACAAGTCGACGACGATGGATTCGGCCTTGTCTATTGCCATAGCCGGCGCGGCGTAATTACCACAGAAAATTGTCGTGGATACTGTTTTTGATTTTTAGTTTGTTTTTTAAATATTTTATGGGAATGTTTCACTTTAGGTGCCTAAAATTAAGAAATATCTTATAAAACGAAGTAGATATTCTGAATTTTTAGGCAAGCTTGAAGTGAGAAAAAATGCAATTTTTCGTAAAATTTTTGTAATATTTGCTCCAATTGATTTGTGATATAGTTTTTTAAATCCTGATTTGAGTTTTTTTTATCTGCAATAAAACTTACCTATATGTTTTTAACATACACAATTACACGTCTCGTTATATCTCCGTCCATTATAAACATTAGACAGATCATATTGTGAATAGTTCTGACTGACAACGAAACGCATTAGCAAGCAAGGGTGATGTGAATGTTAGTCGGGAACTATTGTGAACTAAAGTCCTAGTTCAAGGAACTATTCCTCTGGAGGAACTAGAACTAAGGAACTAGTTCCTCCCAAGGAACTAGAATTCTCACCTCTACTTTCTTTTAAATTCATCGGTAGAAATTTATCAGCTAAAAGAATTTAACTCAATCTTTATTAAGATATTTGACAAAGGACAGAATTATCTCTAAAAGTTATATTTCGTTTCATTGTTATCTACTTCCTACTTTTTCAGCCCTAAAAATTTGAAAAACTCTAATTCTTTGTTCTTTACATTTTCTTTATCTGAGAACAAGTCAGTTGTAAAATACCTTTTTTATTTATCACTTAATTTAACACGAACAACAGCAGCTATCTGATGCTTTGAATGAGAAAATTAACTGCGACAGTAAAATGTAGACAATTTCACCAAAGGAAGTGTACATTTGACTGGGCACGCTTTTTACATCTTTTGTGAAGCTCATTTTTATTAAAACTTGAATTTAAAATGTTAGATATAGGTCGGGACATTTTAAGTACTGTTTATATTTTTTT